CTTTTCGCCACTTCTGGCCTTCGACATTTGCATGTTGACGTACTTTTTTGTACGGGACCTCATCGTTAGAACCAGTGCTCTCATTCTCAATAGGGATTGAATCCCTTAGGTCATCTATAGCACTGTCCTCATAATAATTGAAGCTCGTATGACATAACTTCGTCGGAGTGACTACGTACTTGTCACCATCGTAGCTGTCGCTGAATAACTGACGATATCAGACATAGATTTCACTCACGTCTTTGTTCTTGAAGTCCTTGTAGTCCTTATTCTCCTGCAGTTGGTCATAAATTAGTCACGTTATTATGTAGGCAAATTCAGATTCATCTAAACAATTATAATCAAGAAATTAACTAGATTATCCTTAATCAAAGTGTATCTGGTTGCTAGAACTTGTTAGTCAAATGCCTTTGGGAAAAAAAGTCATGACTGCCAAACTTTAAGAATACAATTTTAAAAATATCAAAGTCGTAAAATTCTTTCAAAACTTAGGTCATAAATCAGTATTAACATTCCTAAAATTATAAATACATAGACTTAAATAAGAGAATAACATTACTTGTATTGATGATTAACAACATCAGTATTAACGTTCATATTTTATGTTGTGAGGTGACTAGCAATACCCAAAAAAATATTACAAAACACTGGCATTCCAAATCTGGCTGTTGTAAAATAAACTAGCATTGGTCTTTTTTATTGTTTTGGCTTAGACTTGTTAATTATTGTGATTAAATGAGTCCCTATCTAGAGTAGTCTATGTTCTAAAATAAGTTATTGCTCTAGAATAATCCATTGTAAACAATTGTTCCAGTATAGACATCAACCACAATGAGAAGGTGACCATATTTACATGAACATATGTGTAATGAACAACCACAACCATCATCCATTCAAGTCATTAACAACAACCACCATAATCCATTCAATTCATTAACAATGAGAAAGTCATCCATTCAAGTTGTTATCAACCACTACCATCATCCATTCAATTCAACAACAACCACGAGTCATCCATTCATGTCATTATCAACAACAACCATCATCCATTGAAATCATTATAAACTCTTGATAACAGTGTCAGCCATCATCAATTCAAGTCATAATAAACGTCCATAACAATGACAGTCAGATATAGAAATACCTCACCTTAATTTTTTGGGTCCACCATTCCTCAGATGCTACGATCTGACCAGTCGAAGAATTGTATTCCACCCTGATACAGCCTAACAATTCCGTTAGCTATTTGTGTTCCCGACGCATTGCGTCCCAGTGTTTGCGCAATTGGACTTTACTTCAATTGTGGCCTGTGGTTTGGTTGAACAACGTCAAAAGACGTTCCCACCCAATTTTCGTGAAAACGCTTTCCGTGCCGATGGCCTTTGGCAATGGTTGTTTCACAAGCTACGATGAACGTTTGTCGTTCTGCATCTCTCCATCTGGCATATTTCTTGGTTGACTCCATAGCCATTGACGAACCCGAAACACCAGTCTGCAAGTTGAAGATGAGGAGTTGGTGGGGGTAGAAAAACAAATGTCACAATATAGTAATTGAAATTGCAGAGGAGGAATGGGGATCATTACCTAAACATCAAATGGGTCCATGCCTGCAATGTCGTCCCTGAGCTGGCGGTAGCAGTTGACGAGCGCCCGGATCAACCAATTAAAGGATGGTGCTGCCGGATCGCGAAATCACTGCGTCTTCTTCGCTAAAAAGAGGGGCGAAGAATTTCTACAAATTATCCTTTTTATTCCGTTGCCCACACAGTCTTCTTAACTGGAAAGAGAACAAGAGTGAAAATCTAGGAAGGGGAAGGGGGTAAATTTCGATCTGGCGCTTAGAAATTGAAAAAATTCAGCAGCGATGAACTGCAGATCGGTGTGGTTAAAGATCGTCTTTCACGGACTGAAGATCGATGCTGTTGAAGATTGGTGCCAGTTGAAGATCGAATCGTCTTTCACTCACTGTGCAAATCTTCAAGGATTGGAGTAGGTGAGAGTAAAGTGTTGTTACTTTGGTAGGTGAATTGCATTTGGTTCACGTGAGGGGCAAAATCGCCCATTTCCACTGCTGCCTCATTGGGATTGTACGTTTGATGTCAACGAAACTGTTCCAACGTCCCAAAAAAATTCTACTTTTTAAGGAAAAAATGAACCCCAAACACAGGCTAGAAGCAAGTACGATACTTGCCTCTACTGCAAAAGAAATGGTGATATAAATTCCTTGTACTTATTGTTATATGCTGATGATATGCTTTTAGGCTGTCATAATAAATCTAAAATTCTTGATATTAAACAAAAACTTAAATCTGAATTTAAAATCGAAGATTTTGGTTCAGCTAAGAAAATCTTTAGTATGCAAATTTTAAGAGAGAAAGAAAATGATTTGTTATTTTTAAATCTACATAATTATGTGAATCAAAATTATGAAAAAAATTGGAACGTTTGAGTGGGAACCTATTACATTGCCACTTGCAAATCAATAAAATTGTCTTCTTATTGCTATCCGAAAACTGAAGAAGATTTTGGTAGAATGTCTAAAATTTCCTATACAAATGTTATTGGATATGTGATGTATGTGATGATATGTATTAGACCTAATCTTGCAGATAGCATTAGTGTATTTAGCATATATGAATAAGTGATGTATCCGATGATATGTGTTAGCCACTTGAGAGTGTTTGGTAGTATAACTTACCCTCATATTCAAGGTGAGAAAGAGACGTAAGCTAGATGATAAATCAGAAAAATATATACTAGTGGGATACAATAAAAACCCAAAAGCATATCGTTTGTACAATTCCATCTCAGAGAAGATAATCATAAATAGAAATGTGCATTTTAATGAGAAAGAATCTTGGAGGTGAAATGTTGTTGATCAAAAACAAAAATCAAATTCTGTTAATATTGACGACAATAACGGTGCACAAGTAGCTGAACTAGAAGGTGCTAAACCGTTATCATCAAGTTCAGTTCATCATCAAGTGATGAAGAGTCAACTTTGCCATCATTAAGGAAATCAACTCGGCCATATCAACCATCTAAAAGGTATCCATTAGATGACTATGTCATGATTATTAGTGATGGAATGAATTTTACATTACTTGTAGATGACCTAACAAGCTTTGAAAAAGTATCCAAAGAATTGCCATGAATCAAGCAATAGATGCAATTGAAAGAAACAAGACATAGAAGTTGACAAATTTTCCAAAAGACAAGATAGTGCTCGGTGTAAGATGAGTCCACAAAATAAAATTGGATTCAAATGGTAGAGTAGACAAAAACAAAACAAGACTTGTTGTGAAAGGTTTCGAGCAGAAGTTCAGTATTGATTATGAGAAAATGTTTCCTCGTGTAACTTGTTTGGAAATAGTTCGTCTATTTTTGTAATTGGTAGCTCATAACGGTTGGAAGGTACATCACATGGATGTAAAATCGACTTTTCTTAATGGCTTCGTAGAAGAAGAGGTCTACGTTGAATCGCCCATTTAAAGAAAGCATTGTATGGACTGAAACAAACTCCAAGAGCTTGGTATAATAGAACTGACAACTTTTTTTGAAAAGTGGATTCAAGATATGTCCATATGAGCATGCACTCTACACCAAAGAAGATGAAGCAGTAATTTTCTTATTATTTGGTTGATGGCCTTATCTTTACAGGCAATAATGAGGAAATGAGGATGAATTTTTAAAAAATGGGTTATTAGCAAAAAACCCTCTGAAAATGTTTTCATTTGTGTGGAAATCGCAGAAAACCAGCACATTTGAAACCTTTTTTTGCAAATTATACCTAAATGTTTTAGGGATAATTGTAGCAAAAGTCCCAAACCTTTTAATCACATTAAATAATTGAATTAAAAACTCAAAAAAGGAAATAAATAAAAATCATCATCTTCTTTTTCTTCACCACCAAACCCATGACCCTATCCCCAACCCACTCCAACCCCAAAGTCAAAATCATGGACACCACCACACACTGTTCGGTACCACCACCACCTCAAGTTGCCATCACCGCTTCACCAAAGACCCATTAATTTCTCTATCAGAGTTTACATCTTCATCTGAGTCCGTCATGACCTAGCGATGATTTTCTGTGAATGATCTCTGAAACTCTGGCCACCAACAAATGAAGTAGAAGGTAACCTATGTTTTGTGACTATAACTCATTTATTCTCATCATGCAAAAGTGAATTTTCAACCTTCCCTAGAAACTCAATTGTGCCATTGCCCCCCTTCATGTTTTATTTGTCACTCTAAACTAGAACTAAGGGACACGAGTGTATAAGGACTATCTGAAACAATTGATTAATCATCTATTTTACAAAAGGCCTACTAAATGCAAATTCATTTAAATCATCACTTTCTTGAACAATTTCACCATTTGGGTTCTTCACAAAAGGCATAGAAAATGTATCACTACCATTATTACTCCGTTGAACAATTTCTTCACTTGGGCTCTTCACAACAGGTCTTGAAAACTCATACTCCTTAACAAAATGAGTTTCTTCAAGAACTTCATCATATAGGTAAATCCCAAAATGTCTCTCAGGTGGACTTTCAAACTCATCATCACCACTCACAAATATCTCATACTCGGTCTCACTCCCACTACTATAACTATTAACAGAACTATTTTTATGACTTTTGACTGAAACATAATATTCAAAGTTAGAATCATCCATAGTAAGGGGAGCTTTAATACCCAATAATGAACTGGGAACGGGACCTTTGGGGTCATTTGTCCAGTGGAAAGAGGCACACGATATGTACTATATTTTTGAGTGTATGAGAAAAGCAAGAAAACAGATGGGGTAGTGAATCAAATTTCCATTGAAAAAGATGGGTGTTTAAATTTAGCTGTTTATGGTTTCTTTTTTGGGTTTTGATGCAATCATCCCTAAAACATTTAGGTATATTTTGCAAAAATTTGATACTGTAACTGCAAATATTTTTTGACATTTTTAATATTTTTAATGAAAAATTTGACAGATCTTAACAATATGGGGTATTTCACACAGAACGTTTCAAATAGGGGGTTTTCTGTGATTTTCAATAGGTAGGGGGTATATCGCAAATGAAAATGTTGTCAGGGGGATTTTCTGCTATTAATCCTTAAAAAATTCATGATGGAAGAATTTGAAATGACCGACTTTGGACTTCTTCATCACTTTCTTAAAATTGAAGTAAAACATATACGTGAAGGAATCATTAATTCTCAACAAAAGTATGCAAAAGACTTGTTAATTCCCTTATAGTACTCATATGGATGCAAAGATGATGGATATGAAGATTGATGCTAGTCTTTATTAAAGTTTAGTGGAAGTCTAATGTATTTAACAGCAACAATGCCACATGTTTATTGTTCACATGTTAAGTAGATTTTGACTTTGCCAAAAAAAAGTTATTGGGGAGGTGGTAAAAGAATCATTCGTTATATTGTTGTTACTATTGATCATAGGATTTATTACGAGAAATTACAAATATCAATTTTGATTTGTTACAGTGATAGTGATTGAGGATGAGATAAAGGTAACCACAAAAGTACATTAAGGTATGTTTTCAATATTGGTTCCGGTGCAGTTTCGTTGCTTGCACCATTGATGTTGCTTGAACCATCCACCTGGAGCATCTATATGACTATCATCGGTCTGTTCGTCAAGTAAAGAAGTTCCTTTTGGACTAAGACCTGAGAGTTAGGATCGAAATCAACGATGAAATCTGCAAGTACCTAAGATTTTATAGCAGTTATAGGGTGCAAAGGAAATATCATATTCACTTAATTCGACAGCCCATTTGGTTAATGGTCCAGATAACTCAGGTTTGTTGAGTATCTGCTTCAGCAGGAAGGATGTTACGACAACTACTGAGTGGTTCTAGAAATAAGGCCTTAGCTTTCGGGTTGCACTAACATGTGACAAAGCTAACTTCTCCAGTTGGCTATAGCGGGTCTCTGCATCTAGTAACGCCTTCCTGACATAGTAAATAGGGAGTTGCTTTCATTCTTCCTCACGAACTAAGACTACACTGACAGCTGTCTTTGATACCACCAAGTACATGTAGTGTTGTTCCCCATCTTTTGATTTTGACAAGAATGGAGGTGAAGTTAAGTTTTGAGTTACTGAAATGCTTTTTCACATTCTAGAGTCCATCCAAAAATTCTGTTTTTCCTTAATACGTTATATAATTTCTGGCATTTCTTAAAAGATCGAGAAATGAACATGTTAAGAACTATAAGTCTTCCAGTAAGATTTTGAACTTCCTTAATGCAAGTTGGAGATCGCATGTTAATGATTGAATGGATTTGATCCAGGCTTGTCTTAATTTCTCGTTGGTTACTGAGTAACCTAGGAACTTTCCAGATGATACTCTGAATGAACACTTAGATGGATTGAGTTTTATGTTGTACTTATTTAGAACCTCGAAGGATTGCTTGAGGTGGTCTATTTGTTGCTATGCATGCAATTAGGGACTTTACCAGCATGTCGTCGATGTAGACTTCAATGGATTTTCCCAGTTGATCAACAAAAATATGATTCACTAGCTATTGATATGTTGCTCGATACCTTGTAGCAAAATGTGTCTTGCTTCGTCAAGAAAGCAGTTTTCTCTTAGTCGAGTGCTTTAAAATCTAGTTGTAACCAAAAAAGGCATCAATAAAGTTTAGAAGCTCATATCCAGCTCTCTAGTTGACCATTATGTTGATATGTGGAAAAAGGAAATCTGTCTTTTGGACATACCTTATTCAAGTATGTGAAATCAATGCGTACTCTCCACTTACCATTCTTCCTTTTCACACGACGACATTAACGAGCTACTATAGGTAGTAGACTTCTCGTATAGAGCCAACTTCTATAAGTTTTTGCACCTCTTCATTGATGGTGCGGTCTCGTTTGGGCACAAATGTTCTTCGCATCTGTTATATCAGAATGTATTGGGAATCGATATTCAATTTGAGCGTCATTATCTCTGGGTCAACACCGACCATGTATGTGTGAGACTAAGCGAAACAGTTATGGTGTTCCATGAGATACTTGATAAGGCGTTGTCTGACCTTGGGTTCTAGCCTTGTCCCCACTTGATTTTTGTGTTCTATAAAGTCGGGGTGGATCTGTACTTCATCTAGCTTTTCCAAATTTGGATGGTTTGGGATGTCATCCTGAAATTGCTGTAATTGCTATAAAGGACATTGGTCAGAGCGGAGTGAATTCTTCCCGAACAAACATTCACCATGATGATGTTTACCACACTTAGGGC